TTCAAATTGAGCAAAGAGCAAATACTCAAAGCCGAAAACTTCCCCATCAGAGTCCTGACAAGTGCTAACAAAGTCACTTGAAGGGCGAATGAAATTATTAATGAACGTGTCACATTAAGCGGAAACACAAGAGTTAAGGAATTTCTAAAATTCATTAAACGATTAAAATTATCAAATGAAATTAGGATATCTTTCTCGTTGATGAACCAAGTCTAGCCATATTGGTTCCAACAATGCGATCAAATATGAAGAAAGTAATTTCGGAAAATATTTAATAATAAGATTTAAGCACTAAAAGTTGGCATTAGAATTAATTAAAGTGCTAATAACATCATGATAATTCCATTGAATTCATAATTTAATGCAAAAACTAGAGATTATCCGTGCCTTGACGACTTCCAATTTTAAACCATACTCTTCAAATTCACGTTCTTCATTGTCTGTAGTATGTTGCTTCAAAATGGAGATAAAAATTTGTAACCAATCTGGAATAACAGGTGCCATTAGAAACGATTCTGTTGCTTCGGGATGTTCCTCTTTACATATAAATAGTATTTCGATACAATGTCTGAATATTGCTATGGACCGTCCACGCGTTCTATAAGAATAAACCTTTCCAAAAACTTAGTAACTCATCACATATCCTTGATCATTTATGCGTAGGTAGAATTAACTCACTTGATCGGATCGTAGAATTCTCAATAGTTCGGGTAGTAATATGGGAGCAATTTGAGAAAATTGGATTTCTGTGATATCATGTGTGACAAATTCTTATAATATATAATAATTCTTTAGGACAATAATTTCGCAAATGATGTGTTAATCAAAAAAATTAGTAAAATTGCCTATACCGGTCATAACTCTCATCGCACCATGCACTTGCTCTGGTGAGCCGGTTTTTAAAAGCGATATCAATAAGTCTAAGAGGTCAGGCCAATAATCAGGCCAATCATTATGTGCAATTTTTGATATAACATATGCCTATATATTAGTTATATTAGCATTAATCTTATCCTTCGTTTAATTAAGAATAAATATAAATATAAATACCGATGCAACACGGATTTTATTTGATGGATCAGACAATCCACTGAATATAATTTCGCGTACAATTGCTTTTACCTACATGATTCATACCAAGCAAATCTTTTAAAAGACTAACCATTTTTATAACTGATAGCAAATTTCACAGACAGACCTCATCAGTAGCTTCTACCCCTGCAAATGTTTCTGAGGTAGAAGACCAATGCGAAACCACATAATTTTTTAAATTAATTACTGCAGAGTAATTAAAGAAAAGAAAAAAAAATCAAATAGTTAAGAATTGAACTTCAAATCTGTTTCTGTTATATTATTATATCGAAATAATTAAAGGATATTTGACGGTATGATATGTCCACGTCTTGTGAGATAGTCATTTTGGCGAGGCTGATGGGATATTCTATATGAATTTATTATTACTAAGTTATAGCGAATAGATTAAAAGTAAACCAGCCAACGCGTCTTAACACGTAATAAATTGAATCACTTTGACGAACCAGGAACGTTACTTAGTTCTTTCAGTCTTAGCTCAGCCGACATTCGTACATTGGGATCTGGTGAAAGAACGCGTGAAAGAACTTCATATACGGCTTGGTCCATTTTTTGATTATATTTTGCAAAGAGGTATGCCCCGAAATTTTAATTTATATTGTGGACTGGGCTGAACCGCAGTTAAATTTAGTTTGGGCCGTGACATTGTTAAAAGGCTAACTTTCTTTTGATTGATTAATTCAGTCAGGGAATTTACCAAATTAGGGGGTCGTATAAAGCCATGTACCCACGTGACATTTTTGTGTAAATCAACACTTATTTGCGCAAAAGTTTCAATTTTGATACCCCTGCGGTTATTTTTTT